AAATGTTAAAGAAGAATTAGTAATAGGGAGAATCAAGTAAGAATTGGGGATGGACTATCTGCAGAAGTGAGTGAGACTAGAATTAACTGACTGGACATTAGGCTGATGATTTACCAACCTCAGATTCTTTCTTTTCTGCTAATAGGTCTAGGACTGTTCCAGAACCTTATATTACATTTACTTTATATATAAATCTGTGTTTGGTGATATTAAGAAAAGGAGTGATATGAAGCACAGAAGTCCATTATACTTAGAAAGTATAATAGACTTCATAGCAAATTGAAAATCTCTCATTTACTTCTCTAGCAGTTTATATGCACTAAAAACAGCTTATCTCAACCTTTATTACTCACTCTTAACTCTAACTTGGTATCCACATCCCAGTTGTTTATCCTTCATTGCCAATTTGGTCTTCATTAAGTGGGATGTTATCTTCTTGGTTTTTCCTTTCTAAGGCCAGAAAATTATCATACTGCTTTTCGACACTGATCATTAGAAATGTGGTTATCCCTATGAGTCAGCAGAATCCCTTATCTTCTGCTATTGGTCAGTTGTTTCCCTGTTCCTACCTAAGGTGGTATCATGTGAACAAAAGGGGATAACACAGCTTCTGAATGTTCAGTAGTACCTCCTTCCAGCAACAACAAGGATTTTCTTACATTATTTGCAATTTCTTGGATTACAAACATTAAAAGTATTATCTTTCCTTCAATTAAAAATTGCTTCCAGACTCATTCTAAATTACATATAACTTATCTGTCACTCAGCAACACATGGAAACCTTGGATCCCTCAAATCATGATTCAGTTATAAAGCTTAATGTAAAAAAAATCAACTTCCATTTTAGGATATGACAGAGTGTCTTATAGTACACCAATGCTCCCGTTGAGAAAAAAAGTAGAAAATAGAAAATGAGATGCACATAATGTCTATATATTTGCATCCATAACCCACTGAAGCAACCAGGAAGAAGGCAGGCCAAGATTCTGAAGATTCTGGAGAAGGGACAACCATGAAGAAAATAGATAAGAATCTACAGCTGCTTTTCCTCTCAGGAAATTCACCAATGCTGGGTCCTGGAATCTGAGAAATGCCTGGATAGAGGGCTACTGACGAAGAGGCCCTGGCAGAGTTTTGGGTGGTCTTGTAGTACTGGAGATTCAAAATTAGAGGTCTAAAGGGCTGATACTCAATTAAAAAGAAACTTCCAAGAGTTTAGCTAAGCTACTCCATAGTATTGCTGCCTCAATATTCTTTTTGTTTTGGCCAAGTAGCCTGTGGGGGCCGTAAACTGATATTAGTCCCATTATGCAAGTACATGCCCTAGACAACAGCATGAAGAATCAGAGCAAATGTAAAGTCCCCATATGACTCCTCAATTGGCCCTTGTGACCAATAGGTTCCCCTGTCTCCCAGGGTCTTCTCCTTTGTGTGCCCCTTAGATAAGAGGCACACATAAATTTTGGAGCTTAGCAAAACCCACTTTTGGTTTGAATTGATCATTCTGGCCTTAGCCCAGGAACCCCAAAGCACTCCACCCACAGACTCTAATAAAGGCATTATGTCCAGGCCCTGTCTTTCTCTTATACTTGCCTTGACCACTCCATATGACACAAATATGTCATGTACTTCCTCTATGACTTGTGAACAATAAAATTCTCTATTTCAATTTCTCTATGGTGTTTTACTGAATCATGGGTTACCATCTAGCATCCTGTGTTCCAATTGACAAATGTTATTTAACAAAATCATAAAAGGGACAGATGAAGTACTAGAGTTCACACACAGTAGGTTCTTCTCCCAAATTTTAATTGAATTCTTAAGTTGCATGAGGTGGAAAATAAGAACCTAAAGACAAAGACCAGAAAACTCAGGTGTGAATTTTTGATTGAGGAGAAAAAAATAATAAAGTCAAGGACTAGACAGAAGAATAGGCTCCAGTGAACACACCAGGCCTCCATATGAAAGCCCTGGAGAGTTACATCCTGGAGAGGTAAATGGAGCCTTATGTCCTGTGAACAGAACTCAGTCCTTGATTGGATTTAGGTGATCAGTCTTTACTCTACCTGCCTTGCAGAGAAAAAGGTGAAACCTCTCTGGAGAATAATTACATGATCTAGAGACTCTATGATTTCTAATATCCAATGTCCAGAATTAATAAAAAAAAATTACTTAACATGGCAAGAAAAAGATCATTATGCCAATGCTGAGGAGATTAAGAAAACTATATGATTTGATGATTGGACTTAGCAGATCAGAAATTATACATAATTATGATGAACATATTCAATGAAATAGAAGGACAAAGATACACAGAACAACTGAAAAGGCATGAATTGAAATTAAAAACAACATATGCATTTAATGATAGATTACATATAAGAGATTAAGTAAACCCAAAGACATGTCAGTGTGAAACATGAAACATCAATACTAAAGAACAGCGTAAAATTTGAGTGGAAAATACAAAAATGAATATGAAATACATGTGTAGCATAGTGAAAAGATAAAAAAATATGTAATTGGATTCTCAGGAGGAGTAAGAAGAGAGAATGAAACGGAAACAATATTTAAAGTGATAAAGATGACTATTCCAAAGGAAATAAAAGGCATAAAATATGCATCAATGAGCTCTATTAACTCGAAAAAAGAAAATACAAAAAAGGATAAATATTCCTAGCACCTCAAAATAAAAATGCAAAAAAATAAAATCTTAAAATCAGCCAGAAAAAATTTTGGTTGGTTGGTGACTTCCCAACAGAAATAATGCAAACCAAAACAAACAAGCAAACAATTGTTATATGACAGTTATGATCTTCTGAAAGATTGTAACTACTGATTTAAAATTACATCCCCACAGAGTCCTTCAAAAATGACAGTGATATAAAGACTTTTCAGATAAACAAAACTGACATTGAGATTATTTTTGCCAGTAGATCAGCAATTCACAAAATACATAAGGGAGAAAAAAAGAACGTAAAACAAGTGAGTCGAATAAAAACAATAGGAAGAGGATAGATTCAAACTCAACAGTGTTACCAATTAAAATAAATGTAAGTTTACTAAATATTTCAAGTAAAAGTCTAAGACTGTCAGACTAGGCAAAAACAAAATTACAAAAAAATACATTTTAAATATAAAGACACAGATTGGAAGTAAAAGTATGGAAGAAGATAGCTGCTATAGTTACACAAATATCAGATGAATAGATTTAAAGACAAGAAACATTGTCAGAGATAAAAAGGGACTTTTCATAATAAAATGGTCAATCCACCAGGAAATATAAAAGTTCTAAATCTGTATTAACTCAAAGACAGACATTTAAAATATACAAAGCAGAAATTAATCGCACTAAAAAAATGGTTTAAATCATCATCATGGAGTGGGGGAGGTTGGATTTTAATACACTCATCTAAGTAGTTGGCAGAACAAGCAAGTTAAATCTCAGAAAGTATACAGATAATCCAAACAACACAGTTAACAATTCACATTCTTTTTTTTTTTTGGATATATGCCCCTAGTGGGAACCGAACCCAGGACTCTCTGGTTTGCAGGCCGCCGCTCCAACCGCTGAGCAAAACTGGCCAGGGCAATTCACATTCTTTTTAAATGTATATGGAATATTTACCAACTCAACCATGTTCTGGATCATACAAAATGTTTCAACAAATTTTTAAAAACTAAAATCATTTAGATTGTGTTTTTACCACAATGGAATTCAGCTAAAAATGAATATTAATGCCAACACTCTTCAAACAAACAACAAAAATACACTATTAAATGATTCATGGAAAAAAATAATTTAAAAGGAAATATAAAATATTTTGAATTTAATTATAATGAAGAAATAGCATGTCAAACAGGGGATGCAGCTAAAGCCTTACTTAGTGTGAAATTGTGTCCTTAAATGCACTGATGAGAAAATGAAACATGCTGAAAGGGAGTATTTTAAACTTCAATCTCAAGAAGCTATAAAAAGAAAAGTATAGAAAACTTAAGAAAAGTAAAAGGATGAAAATAAAACAAGAGTATAAACCAATTAGACAAAACTGATGAAAACTTATCAGGGCAAATCATGGGGGGAAAAGAGCATACACAAATTACAACATTAGAAGTAAAAAATGAACATCACTACAGAGCTTACAGACATAAAGAATATATTACTGAACTAATCTAAACATTATGCCATGAAATTAGGTAGTTTGGACAAAATAAATTCTTTAAAAGCATAACTTACTAAACTGACGAAAGAAAAAATACAAAATCTGAACAGTCATATTTATGTGTGTCTATATGTATGTGTATTTATATACATATATATGAATTTAATGTATTAGTGAAAACCTTCCCATGAAGACATCAAGCACAGATGGCTTCATTGGTAAAGTCTTTCAAAGATTGTAAGGGAGAAATATCACTAATAAACAAATTCTTCCAAAGAACAGGGAAAAAAAAGGGAGGAAACCACAACTCTTTAATGAGACCAGAATGATCTTGATTCCAAACTTTGACAAGGTCAGTACTAGAAAATTACAAACCAATCTCTCTCTTAAACAGAAATGCAAAATTTATAAACCACACAACAGCAAAGCAAGTTCAGCTATGTATAAAAATAATAATAGATTACAACTAAGTAGAGTTTATTATAGGAATGCAAAAATATAACATTTGAAAAGCAATTCATATAATTTACCTCATTAACAGAAAAAAAGAAAGAAAAAATGTTGCGGTCATTTTAATAGATGTAGAAAAAACAACTGATAATGTTTAGTAGTAAGATCCAGGTACCAGTCCGAAGTGAACATTCGACAGAGTAGAAGATGGCCCAGATCATCACAGTGCCAACTACTAGAAGTAGGAGCCCATAGACCTCAGCCACTGCATACTTCATGCACTGGAAATAACCAAGAAGGACACAACACAAAAGGCACTGTGTGGAACAATGTCAGTAAGTGGAACTTACAGAAAGGAGGAGATATGTAGCAAGATCAGCATCTGTAGTATGCGCTGGTTTCCCATGGCCAGCATGTCCATCCTGACAATGAATGCAGGGCTATGTTCTGCACACAACCTTCTCATGCTGCAGGTAAAGATTCTAGGTTAAGATTTCATTTCTTTCCCATGGAAAATGACAGATATACTTGTGGGTCTGGCCAGGTGCCACATGAAACACACATTTTAGCAATACAAGAAAGTTCACTGCATTACCAGAAAAAGGGAAATGGTTTCTCTAATAAGGAAAAAAAATCTGGGGCCAAGTGACAATTTGGAACCCAGATTATATATGGGGAACGTTTCAGGCCCAGGACATTAATTGGGCAATTCAGGAGAGTGACAGCAGGTGTAACAATGGCTGCTTCCCCAACAGGTAAGATCTAACACTCAATTCATGATATAAACTCTTAGCAACAAGGTATATAAAAAAATTTCATTAAATTTTTTTTATTCTCACCTGAGGACATTTTTTTTGCATTTATCTTCAAACAGAATGAGGGGGGGGGGGGAGAAGAGAGAGAGAGAGAAACATCGATGTGAGAGAGACACATTGACTAGTTGCCACCGACACAACCCCAACCAGGGTGTGGACAAACTGCAATTGAGGTACGTACCCTTAGCAGGAACCAAACCCAAGACTCTCTGGTACACAGGCCAACACTCTAAACACTGAGCCAAACTGGCCAGGAAAGAAATTTTATTAATTTTATGATTAAGAATTAACATCATTAAAATGTCCATACTACCCAAAGCAATCTATAGATTCAATGCGATCCCCATCAAAATACCAACGACATATTTCACAGAACTAGAACAAATACTTCAAAAATTCATAAGGAACCAAAAAAGTCCCCGAATAGCCACGGCAATTTTGAAAAAGAAGGACAAAGTAGGTGGGATCACAATACCAGATATCAGGTAATACTACAAAGTGACTGTAATCAAAACAGCCTGGTACTGGCACAAGAACAGGCAGATAGACCAGTGGAACAGAACTGAAAACCCATAAATGAACCCAATACAATATGCTCAATTAATATTTGACAAAGGTGGCAAGAGCATACAGTGGAGTCAAGATAGTTTCTTCAATAAATGGTGTTGGGAAAATTAGACAGCTACTTGCAAAAAAATGAAGCTAGAACACCAACTTACACCATACATGAGAATAAACTCAAAATGGATAAAAGACTTAAATGTGACCCGTGAATCCATAAAAATTCTAGAAGAAAATGTAGGCAACAAAATTTCGGACATAATACGGAGCAGAATTTTCACTGATACATCATCTAAGGCAACAGAAACAAAGGAAAAAATGAACACATGGGACTACATCAAACTAAAAAGCTTCTGCACAGCAAAAGAAACAATCATCAAAATAGAAAGGCAACCCACTGTATGGGAGAACATCATTGCCAATGGTGTATCAGATAAGGGGTTAATTTCCAATATATATAGGGTGCTCATACAACTCAACAAAAGGAAGACAAAGAACCCAATTAAGAAATGGGCAGAGGAGCTTAATAGACACCTCTTCAAACAGGACATACAAATGGCCAAGAGACATATGAAAAATGCTCAACATCACTAATCATCAGAGAGATGCAAATTAAAACAACAATGAGGTATCACCTCACACCTGTCAGAATGGCCGCCATCAACAAATCATCAAACAACAAGTGTTGGCGAGGGTGTGGAGAAAAGGGGACTCTAGTACACTGCTGGTGGGAATGCAGACTGGTGCAGCCACTGTGGAAAACACTATGGTGTTACCTCAAAAAATTAAAAATTGAACTTCCATTTGACCCAGTGATCCTGCTTCTAGGAATATACCCTTAGAAGCCTGAAACACCAGTCAGGAAGAATATATGTACCCCCAAGTTTGTAGTAGCACTATTTACAATAGCTAAGATCTGGAAACAGCCCAAGTGTCCATCAGGAGACGAATGGCTAAAAAAGCAGTGGTGCATAATACACAATGGAGTACTATGCAGCGGTAAGAAAGAAAGAGCTCTTATCCTTTGAGACGACATGGAGGGTCCTGGAAATATTATCCTAAGTGAAATAAGCCAAGCAGAAAAAGACAAATACCACATGATCTCACTTATATACAGAATATAATGAACATAACGGTCTGAGGAATACGGTAGACCCAGGAACATGGAAGTAGGGCACAGACTGACATCCCTCAGAAGAGGGGGTGGGGGTGGGTGGGAAGAGATAAACCACGGAACTTATATGCATGTATACATAACCAATAGACATGGAGAACAAAGCCGGGGACAGGGTGGGGGTGGGGTGGGGGGGTGCCTAAGGGGTAAAAAAGGAGAAACATCTGTAACAGAAAATAAATAAAAAATTTAAAAAAAATAACCAAAACAAAACAAAACTTACAGCATACATATACTTAATGGTGAATAATTGAAAGGTGAATTGTTAATGGTGAATTTCCTGAGATTAAGAATGAGACAAGGATGCCCAATACTTCAATTTCTATTCAACACCATATTGGAGATACCAGTTAATGTAGTAAGTCCAAAAAGGATTTTTGAAATACTTTATCTGACTAATGATCAGAATATAACAAAAAATTTGTGAATAAAAAATAAAAAGACAGCTGAAGGAAACTTATGTAAAAAATATTTAGTAGATATTCATAAGTTATAAAATGCAGGCTTCAGGCAGGACTTGATCCAGGGTTCATGAATCTTACCAAAGAAACGATTTCTTTCAGTCTGTCCATTCTACTTTTTACAGTGTCAACTTTATCGAAAATCCATCTCTCTTTGTGGTCAAAAGATGGTTGTCAACATTTCCAGCAACACGCCCAGTCTGAGAGAGAGAGAGAGAGAGAGAGAGAGAGAGAGAGAGCGCAGGAGAGAGAGATTTTGAAATTGTTCAAGCATTCCAAGCAAGATACTTGAGATTTACTCTGATTGGGTTGATTTGGGACATATTTTCACCTCTTAAGGCCAGGAATTGACTGCATTGATTATCTTAGCTTCATCATGTACATCATCCCATGAATCTGGAGGTGAATTCAATGTTTCAGATTCACATGGATCTCCAAAGAGAAATAAGATGTTGGAAGAGCGTATACAGAGGTGCCCCAAATTCCCCTGTTCACAGTGCCATTGATGCCTCAGTAAATTTTTCATGGTGCCTCTAGGTTAAAAGAAATATTGAATGGGTCCTTAGTATTAGTTCTATTAAGTAGTCAGGTCCAAACAACTTAGTAATAACAGTTCATGTAGTATCCAACAAATGTCATAGCATTTCTCCTGAAAATGAAAAATATCTCACAGTGCTTATGTGAGCTATTTGTGGTGCCCCAGGGCCTGTCAGCGCAGTTTGGGAACTGGCGGTAATGTCTCATGGGCAGGCAACCACACATAGCCACTGAATTCCTAAATGAACAATCATGAAAATAACACAATTATTTTGGTACATAGAACAGAAGTTTTTATGCAGGAGAAAGGAAGCATAGTTGCAGACACTATATGTCAACATCTTTATTTATTTATTTATTATTAATATGTTTTTATTACAAATGTTTCTCATTTCTTCCCCATTGACAACCTCCTCCTTTTCCCCCCTGCCCCATCCTCAGCTTTGTTGTCTATGTTTATTGGTCATGCATACATTAATGTAAGTTCTGTGCTTTATCTTTTCCCCCACTAAGCCCCCTCCTCTGAGGCTTGTCAGTCTGTACCCCACCTCTATGTCTCTGACTTAATTTTGTTCAACAGTTTGTTTAGTTGATTATATTCCACAAATAAGTGAGATCATCTGACATTTGTCTTTCTTTGCTTGGCCTGTTTTGCTTAGCATAATAATCTCCAGGTCCTTCTATGCCATCTCAAAAGATAAGAGATTTTTCATTCTTACAGCTGCATAGTATTCGTTGTGTACATGTACCACAGCTTTTTAATCCACTCATCTACTGATGGACACTTGAGCTGGTTCCAGATTTTAGCTATTGTAAATAGTGCTGTTATGAACATAGGGGTACATATATTCTTTCTGATTGGTGTTTCAGGTTTCTTAGGGTATATTCCTAGAAGTGAAATCAATGGGTCAAATGGAAGTTCAATTTTTAATTTTTTGAGGTAACACCATAGTGTTTTCCACAGTGGCTGCACCAGTCTGCATTCCCACCAGCAGTGTACTAGAGTCCCCTTTTCTCCACACCTTCGCCAACACTTGTTGTTTGATGATTTGTTGATGGCGGCCATTCTGACAGGTGTGAGGTGATACCTCATTGTTGTTTTAATTTGCATTTCTCTGATGATTTGTGATGTTGAGCATTTCTTCATATGTCTCTTGGCCACTTGTATGTCCTTTTGGACAGGTGTGTATTTAGGTCCTCTGCCCAGTTTTTTTTTTATACTCACCCTAGGACATTTTTCCATTTTCTGTACAGATAGAGTGGGAGGGAGAGAGAGGAAGAGAGAGAGAGAGAAACATCGACGTGAAAGGGACACATCGAGTGGCTGCCACCCGCACGACCAACCAGGGCCGGGGCCAAACTGCAACCGAGGTATGTGCCCTTAGCGGGAACCGAACCCGGGTCTCTCCGGACCGCAGGCCGACGCTCTAACCGCTGAGCCAAACGGGCCAGGCCTCTGCCCAGTTTTTCAATTGGGTTCTTTGTCTTCCTTTCTTTGAGTTGTATGAGTACTCTATACATTTTGAAAATTAACCCCTTATCTGATGCATCATCGGCAATTGTGGTCTCCCATATAGTGGGATCCCTTTCTGTTTTGATGGTTGCTTCTTTTGCTGTGCAGAAGCTTTTTAGTTTGATGTAGTCCCATGTGTTCATTTTTTCCTTTGTTTCTCTTGCCTTAGGTGTTGTATCAGTAAAAATTCTGCTGCATATGATGTCTGAGATTTTGTTGCCTACATTCTCTTCTAGAATTTTTTAAGATTCATGAGTTACATTTAAGTCTTTTATCCATTTTGAGTTTATTCTCATGTATGGTGTAAGTTAGTGTACTAGCTTCATTTTTTGCAAGTAGCTGTCTAATTTTCCCAACACCATTTATTGAGGAAACTATCTTGACTCCACTGTATGCTCTTGCCCCCTTTGTCAAATATTAATTGAGCATATTGTCTTGGGTCCATTTCTGGGTTTTCAGTTCTGTTCCACTGGTCTACCTGCCTGTTCTTGTGCCAGTACCAGGTTGTTTTGATTATAGTGGCTTTGTAGTATAATCTGAAATCTGGTAATGTGATCCCTCCTACTTTGTTCTTCTTTTTCAAGATTGCTGTAGCTATTCGAGGTCTTTTTTGTTTCCATATGACCTTTTGGAGTGTTTATTCTACTTCTGTGAAGTATGTTGTTGGTATTTTGATGGGGATTGCATTGAATCTATTTCTTTTTTCAATGACCTGTGATTTTCTGTGAAGAGGTCATTTACTTCTTTGGTTAAGTTTATTCCTAGGTATGTTAATTTCTTTTGCTGTGATGGTAAATGAGATTGTCTTTTTAGTATCTCTTTCTGTGATTTCATAATTGGTGTATAAGAATGCTGTTGATTTCTTGATGTTAATTCTGTATCCTGCTACTTTGCCAAATTCATCTATTAGATTTTTGATGGAGTCTTTAGGGTTTTCTATGTACAATATCATGTATCTGCAAATAATGACAGTTTTACTTCCTCCTTTTCAGTTTGGATGCCCTTTATTTTTTCTTCATGTCTAATCGCTGTGGCTAAAACCTCCAGTAATATGTTAAATAAAAGTGGCAAAAGTGGGCATCCCTGTCTTTTTCCCATTCTTAAGTGAAATGTTTTTACTTTTTGCCCATTAAGTGTGATGTTGGCTATAAGTTTTTCATATATGGCCTTTATTATGTTGAGATATGATCCCTGTATTCCCACATTGCTGAGCAATTTTTTCAAACATGGGTACTGGATTTTGTCAAATGCTTTTTCATCATCTATTTATATGATCATATGATTTTTTTCTTTCCTTTTGTTTATGAGGTGTATCACATTTATTGATTTGTGAATATTGTACCATCCTTGCATGCATGGAATGAAACCGACTTGGTCATAATGAATAATTTTTTTTGATGTATTGCTGGATCCGATTTGCTAATATTTTGTTAAGGATTTTGGTATCTGTGTTCATCAGAGATATTGGCCTGTAGTTTTCTTTCATTGTAGTGTCTTTATCCAGTTTTGGAATTAGGATTATGCTGGTCTCATAAAATGAGCTTGGAAGTGTTCCGTGTTCTTGGATTTTGGGAATAGTTTGAGGAGAATGGGTATTAGATCTTCTTTGAATGTTCAGTAAAACTCCCCCATGAAGCTGTCCAGGCCTGGGCTTTTGTTTGCTGGGAGAGTCTTGATTTTATGTTCAATTTCCGTTGTTGTTATTGGTCTGTTCAAGTTTTCTATCTCTTCCTGGTACCGTTTTGGGAGACTGTGTGTTTCTAGAAATTTGTCCATTTCTCCTAGATTGTCCAGTTTGTTGGCCTATAACTATTCATAATATATTTCGATGATGTTTGTATTTCTGTGGTGTCAGTTGTTACTTCTCCCTTTTTTTTTGATTTTGTTTATTTGGTTTCTCTCTTTTTGTTTCTTGGTGATTCTGGCTAAAGGTTCATAGATCTTGTTTATCTTTTCAAAAAACCAGCTTTTTGTTTCATTGATATTTTGAATTGTTTTTTTAGTCTCTGTTGTTTATTTCCTCTCTGACCTTTACTATTTCCTTCCTTTTATTAGCTCTGGGTTTTCCTTTTTGTTTATTTTCTAGTTCTTTAAGTTGTAGGGTTAAAAAGTCAATTAGAAATGTTTCTTGTTTCTTGAGATGGGCCTGTAGTGCTATGAACTTCCCTCTCAGGACTGCTTTTGCTGTGTCCCATAGATTTTGTGTTGTTGTGTGTTTGTTTTTATTGGTTTCCAGGAAGTTTTTAATTTCTTCCTTGATTTTGTTAGTAACCCATTCATTGTTTAATAACATGGTATTTAGCCTCCAAGTATTTGAATGTCTTTTTGTGTTTTTATTGTAATTGAGTTCTAGTTTCATGCTACTGTGATCTGAGAAAATGCTTGATATGATTTCAATTTTCTTGAATTTGTAGACTTGCTTTGTGTCCTAACATGTGGTCTATCTTTGAGAATGACCCTTGTGCACTTGAGAAGAATATATATTCTGCATCTTTAGGGTGAAATGTTCTGTAAATATCAATTAAGTCCAACTGATGTAGTTTGCCTTGTAAGGACTCTATGTCTTGTTAAATTTTTGTCTAGAAGGTCTATCCAGTGGTGTCAGTAGCATGTTAAAGTCATTCACTATGATCGTGTTGCTATTCATCTCTCCCTTGAAGTCCTTCAGAAGTTTTAAATATATTTTGGTGCTCCTATATTTGGTGTGTATATGTTTATCAGGGTTATATCCTCTTGTTGGATTGCTCCTTTTAATATTATGTAGTGACCTTCTCTGTCTCTTATTATGGCCCTTGTTTTAAAGTCTATTTTGTCAGATATGAGTATTGCTACACCAACTTTTTTTTTCATTTCCATTTGCTTGGAAAATTTTTTTCCATTTGTTCACATTCATCTTGTGTGAGTCTTTTGTTGTGAGGTGGGTCTCTTGTAGACAGCATATAGTTGGGTCATATTTTCTTATCCAATCAGCTACCCTATGTCTTTTGTATTTTTTTTTTTTTTACATATAGAGTGGGAGGGAGAGAGAGGAAGGGAGAGAGAGAGAGAAACATCGACGTGAAGGGACACATCGAGTGGCTGCCACCCGCACGACCAACCAGGGCCGGGGACAAACTGCAACTGAAGTACGTGCCCTTAGCGGGAACCGAACCCGGGTCTCTCCGGACCGCAGGCCGACGCTCTAACGGCTGAGCCAAACTGGCCAGGGCACATTTTTTTTTTTTCCATTTTTTGTTCAGGTAGAGTGGGAGGGAGAGAGAGGAACAGAGAGAGAGAGAGAAACATCGATGTGAAAGGAACACATCGAGTGTCTGCCACCCGCCCAACCGACCAGGGCCAGGGACAAACTGCAACCGAGGTACATGCCCTTAGCGGGAACCGAACCCGGGTCTCTCAGGACCGCAGGTCGACGCTCTAACCGCTGAGCCAAACCGGCCAGGGCTACCCTATGACTTTTGATTGGAGCATTTCAGCTATTTATATTTAAGGTAATTATTGATAGATAGTTATTAGTTGCTATATTAAATTATGCCTCTCTCTCTCTCTCTCTCTCTCTCTCTCTGTTTCTTCTTCTTGCAACAGTCCCTTCAGTATTATTTCTTGCAGTGCTGGTTTGGTGGTGTTAAATTCCTTTAGGTTTTTTTTTTTTTTTTTTTTTTTATCTGTGAAGCTCTTTATTTATAAATATATAGAACGATTCACAAATTTGCGTGTCATCCTTGAGCATGGGCCATGCTAATCTTTTTTGTATCATTCCAGTTTTAGTATATGTGCTGCCGAAGCAAGCACTCAACATCACAATTTAAACATTCACCACCTTTATCAATATTGAAGATGAATAGGACTTAGGGAAAGGGCAGAAGAGAGATGATAAAAACGTCAACCCTTCCTGTGTTTGCATTTAACTCCAAGTTCTCAAATGGCTTCACAGATGAATTTTACCAAACATTCGAACAATAACTAATATCTCTCCTTCTCAAACTATTCCAAAATATTCAAGAGAAGATAATAATTCCAAGCTCTTTTTTATGAGGCCAGCATTATCCTTACTTGAAAAACAGATAAAAACACTACAAAGAAAGAAATTTATAGGCTAATATTCATGATAAACATAGATGCTAAAATCCTCAACAAAATATTAGCAAACCAGGTACAGAAATATAATAAAAAGATCATACATCATGATCAAGTGGGATTTATTCCAGGGATGCAAGGTTGGTACTATAATATCTGCAAATCAATAAACATGTCACGTCACATAAATAATATAAAGAATAAAATCACATGACCATATCAATAGATGCAGAAAATGCATTTTATAAAAATCAGCACCCATTTATAATAAAGACTCTAAGTAAAGTGGAATCAGAGGGATCATACCTCAACATAATAAAGGCCATATGTGACAAACTCACAGCCAACATCATACTCAATGGGTAAAAACTGAAAGCATTTGCATTAAGATCAGAAACAAGATCGAGATATTAACTTTAACTGCCCTTATTTGACATAGTATTGGAAGTAATAGCCACAGCAATCAGAAAAGAAGAAGAAATAAAAGGCATCGAAATTGGAAAGGAGAAACTAAAACTGTCACGATTCACAGATGACATAACATGGTACATAGGAAATTCTAAAGACCACAAGAAAATAACTAGACCTAATACATTAGTTTGGTAAAGTAACAGGGCACAAAATTAATGTTCAAAAATTGGTGGCATTTTTTTACACCAATAATGAATTATCAGAAAGAGAAACTAAAAAAATAAAATCCCATTTACCATTGCAACAACAAAAAAATAAGGTACCTAGGAATAAACTTAAGCAAGGAGGTAAAAGACCTATACTCAGAAAACTATAGAACACTGGAGAAAGAAATAGAGGAAGATGCACAGAAGTGGAAGCATATACCATGTTCATAGATTGGAAGAATTAACATCATTAAAATGTCCATTCTGTCTAAAGAAATCTACAGATTCAGTACAATTTATATTAAAGTACTAATGGCTTATTTCACAGATCTAGAACAAATATTCTAAAAATTTAAATGGATCAAAAAAAGACTCTGAATAGCCTCAGCAATATTGGGAAAGCAGAACGAAGTTGGAGGTATCATAATACCTGATGTCAAACTATATTACAAGATAATTGTAATTAAAACAGCCTGGTACTGGCATAAGAACAGGTATATAGATAAATGGAACAGAATGGAAAACCCAGAAATCAACCCACACCTTTATGGTCAATTAATGTTTGACAAAAGAGGCAAGAGCATACAACAGAGTAAATACAGTCTCATCAATAAATGGTGCTGGGAAAATTGGAGTACATACAAAAACATGAAACTAGATCACCAACTTACACCACACACAAGAATAAACTCAAAATGGATAAAAGACTTAAAGATAAGTCACAAAACCATAAAAATACAAGAAGAAAACATAGGCAGCAAAATTTCAGACATCTCTCATAGCAGTATTTTTGCCAGTATATCTCTCAAGGCAAGACAAACAAAGAAAAAAATAAACAAATGGGACTATATCAAACTAAAAAGGTTCTTCACAGGAAAAAAATCAACAAAATGAAAAGGGAACCCACCATATGAGAGAACATATTTGTCTATGATACATCGGATAAGGGGTTAATTTCCAAAATATACATACACATCCTTATACAACTCAACACCAGGAAGACAAAAATCCAATTAAAAAATGGGCGAAGGACCTGAATAGACACTTCTCCAAAGAGGACATACAGATGGCCAAGATACTCAATGTCACTAATCATCAGAGAAACGTAAATTAAAACTAACAAGGAGGTATCACTTCACACCTGCCAGAATGGCTACCATCAATAAATCAACAAATGACAAGTGCTGGTGAGGATGCAGAGAAAAGGGAACCCTTTTGCACTATTGGTGAGAATGCCGACTGGTGTAGCCACTGTGAAAACAGTATGGAGTTTGCTAAAAAAATTAAAATAAAACTGTTTTTTGACCCAACAATCTCACTTCTGGGAATACTTCCCAAAACACTAATCAGAAAAAATATATGCACCCCTATGTTCACTGCAATATTATTTACAGTAGTCAAGATCTGGAAATAGCCCAAGTGCCTGCCCATCAGTAGATGAGTGGATAAAAAAGCAGTGGTACACTTATACAATGGAATACTATGCGGTTGTAACATAAAAGGAACTCTTACCCTTTGTGACAGAATGGTTGGACCTAGAAATTATTATGCTAAGCAAAATAAGCCATCAGATACCATATGATCCCATGTACATGTGGAATCTAATAAGCAAAATAAACCGACAAACAAAATAGAACCAGAGGCATAGACACTTAGAACAGACTGTTGGATATCAGAGGGGAGAGGTTTAGGAGGGACTGGATACAAGAAAGGGAAGAGATTAGCCAAAGAACATATATGCATAGTACTTGGACACAGACAACAGTGTGGTGAAGGCCAGGGGAGGGGGGACAGGGTTGGGTGGAGGTGGGCAAAGAGGGGGGAAGAAGGGGACATCAACAAAATGAAAAAGCCTACTGAATGGGAGAACGTAGTCACCAATGATACATCTGACAAGGAGTTAATATACAAAATGTATAAAGAACTCATCGACTCAACACCAAACACAAACAATCCAATTGAAAAATGGGCAGAGGGCCTAAATAAATACTTCTCCAAAGAAGACATACAGATGGCCAAAAGACATGGAAAAATGCTCAACATCACTAACCATCAGAGAAATGCAAATTAAAACCACAATGAGATACCACCTTACAACTGTCAGAATGCCTATCATCAATAAAACAAGAAACAGCCCTGACCAGTATGGCTCAGCGGTAAGAGCATTGGCTGTGGAAGAAAGAGTCTCGGGTTCAATTCCAGCCAAGGGCACATATGTCAGCTGTGGTTCGTCCTGGGCCCCTGTTGGGGTTTTGCGGGTGGCAACCAGTCGATGTGTCTCTCTCACATTGATGTTTCTCTTTCTCTCTCTCTTCCTCCCTTTCTCCCTCCATGTATATCTGAAAATTAATGTAATTTTGTAATGTAATCCTCAGGTGAGGATTTAAAAATAATAAATAAATAAAACAAGAAACAAGTGTTGGTGAGGATGTGGCAAAAACGGAACCTTTGTGCACTGTTTGTGGGAATACAGAATGGTGCAACCACTATGGAAAACAGTATGGAGTTTTCTCAAAAAATTTAAAATGTAACTGCCTTATAACCTAGTGATTCCACCTCCAGGCATATATCTGAAGAAACCCCAAATAGTAATTCAAAAGAATATCTTCACCCCTATGTTGATTGCAGCATTATTTACAACCCAAGTCCCCATCAACAGATGAGTTTATAAAAATGCTGTAATACATATACACAATAAAATATTAGTCTGCCATAAAATAGAATGGAATTTTAGCATAGATGGACTTAGAGGGTTTTATGCTAAGTAAAGTAAGTTAGTCAGAGAAAGACAAATACTATATAATTTCATTTATATTTGGAATGTAAAGAACAAAATAAACAAACAAAACAGAAACAGACTCATAGAAACAGAGAACAGACTGATGGCTGCCAGAAGAAAGGAGCTTTGGAATCTGAGTGTAAAAGGTAAAGGGATTGAGAAGTACAGATTGGTAGTTACTAAATAGTCAATAGTCAATAGTACAGCATAGAAAATATAGTCAATAATATTGTAATAACTATGTACAGTGCCAGCAGGGTACTGGAAATATCATGGAGAACACTTTGTAAAGTACATGACTGTCTAACCACTATGCTGTGCACCTGAAACACAAATAGTAAATGTAAACTGTAAATAAAATAATTTTTAAATAAAAAAATGTAAAAGAAAATTTATTACTTCACATAACGCCTTTCCCAACACCTGTAGGATATTGTAACAAATCAATTGAAAAAGTAGATAAAAATGGTACCTAATAAATGAGAGTTGCTATATTGAAATGGGGATTTAAAAATATTTTTTAATTATTAAAGTAACAGACATTTATTAAAGTGAAGAGAATAAGCTCAATGAAATATCACAAGGTGTACACTTTTATAAGCACCACCCAGGTCAAGAAACGTAATATTACCAGTACCCCACAATCCCCTCTCGGTCCCTCTCCATTTCTATATCCTCCCTTCTCTTGAAATTCTGATGTTTATCACCATTAATTTTATTTATTTTTCAAATTTTCATAAATAGTCAAACAATGGTTAGTTCATTTTCATTGCTTGAATGGACATTTTACAATGTTCTTTACATACATGTTGCTATAAACATTCTTGTACATGTCTTTTGGGGTATGGGGCATGTGCACATGATGCATGCATTTCCACCAATGAGTGGAATTACTGGGTCATAAGGTAAGAATCTGTCCAGTTTTACTAGATCATATAAAATAAATTTCTAAATTACCAGTACCAATTTACATTCCTACCAGCAATAAAGGAGTTCCTATTGTCCCATATTATCCTCACATAATGCTGTTAGGCTTTTCTCTTTTTAGCCATTCTGGTGGATTTGAAGTTATATCTCTTTGTGGTTTTGATTTAATTCCCCTGGACAGCAATATTGTCATCTTTTTATATTTCTATTGACCATTTAGATATCCTTTTTTGAGGAGTGTCTCTTTAAATCCTGTCCACTTCTCTTTTTGTTATCTATCTTTATCTTATTGATCTCTACAAGTTCTTCACATTTTCTGGGTATAAGCTCATTTTCTTTTTCTTTTTCTTTTAGTTATACATGTTGCACATTTTGGCTTTAACTCTGTGGCT